AATTAGGTGCCTCGGCTTATATTCGGGTCGACTTATACTCGAGTATATACGGTATATTAAATTTGGATAGAGGTCAGAGAGAAAATAATTGTTTTTCAAATGCTTCATTTAAGATTTTGTCATTCATATTAGAATGTTCACATAAATCTACTAGTTAGAATGGAAATGTACTACTGAAGTTGTCACATGGGTTTTCATCTCTTTTCCTGTTATTTCCTTATTCCATTTGCTTATTACTTATCACTCTATTTGCATTGTACCCTTTTTCATTAAACATGCATGGCAGCCATCTACCCTGCTTTCTGGGGCTGAAAACTGAATGGAAATGCAGCATCAGTAACAAAATATATCTGGTTGAGCATTATGATGTGTTCTAAATTGGAAATGTCCTTTGTACAGCACATTTTTTTATTTTCAGTATTTGCATTAAGAAAGGAATTCTTACCTTACCTACTTTGGGACATAATGGTCAGATAGAAAAACTTAAAGAGAAAAAGTATAGAACACCAACTTTAATGGCAAAGTATAGATCCCACTCTTAGATCAAGTATGATGGTAACAATAAATAACATCCTTTCAAAGTTTGATAGATGGAACTTCCTTCTAAAAATTTGTTTGCAGAACACTCTTCTGACCAAGAATTAACACTAAAAACCATCATAAAAATAATTGGACTAAAGAAGTTTCTTGGATAAGAAGCGAAATATCTTCAAGGAAAAACAAAGAAAATCTAATTGCCTCTTGAAAAAGGACCTTTGAGCATATATAATATTTTTACTCATTTAACTAGGTTGCTTCTATCTAGTATTAGGACTTGTGTGGAGAACATATTAAATTTTAGGTAATATTTATGCAGAACTATTGAAAATTCAAAAATGATTTATAAACTTTTAAATACTACTTATATTGACATATTGATATTTTATCTTCAAACAATAAAGGTGATGAACAAAAAAACTATGAAAATTTGACTATAATTATTCCACAAAAAATACAATTTCCTTCTGTGGAAAAAGCACTCCTTTGGCTCTAATACCTGGTTCTTCCCCCATTTGCAGAAACAACCTCAAATATATATTTCTTATAACTGCCTAGCAGCTCTGATATCTGGGAGGAATATTTTCCCATTCTTCCATTCAGAATTTTTTCAGCTACACAATGTTTGAGGGGCTTCTTGCATGCATCTCAAATTGCCCTACAGCACCTCAGGTCCAACTTTTGTCTTGACCATCCCAGAACCCTCTATTTTCCCTTCAGCTATTCCTTGATATGTTCATTATCATGTTGCAGGTTCACTTCTAGTTGAGGCTTACGCTTCAAACATTACATTATCCTTAAAGGCCCATTGATGCAATAAAGAATTTATAGTAGATTCTATGATGGTGAATTACCCAGGCCCTGATCCAGCAAATCACACCCTAACTCTAATTAAATTTCCACCATCATGCTTTACAGTTGGTATAGGTACTTTTGGTGATACATTAGGTTTTCACTAAACATGTTTTCGGGTACTGTGACCAAATATCTATCTTTACCTCTTCTGTTCAGAAGATTGTTCCAGAAGTCCTGGTCTTTGCCTAGATGTTCATGAGCAAACTTTAATCTTGCCTTGATGTTCATTCTGAACAGCAAAGGTTTCCTATTGATGCACCTTCCATATAGATCTAATTTGTGCAGCTTGTGCATTTTGATATCAGCAGTAGAAATGTTGGGTTCTTAGAAACTTCTTTCAGCAACTTGTGTTCTACTCTTGGGCTGAACTTGATGGGACAGCCTCGTCTGGGTAAGTTGGCACTTGTTTGAAATCTTCTCCATTAGTAGATGATCTTCTATACCAGGGATGTTAAACTCACATCATGGCAGCGCCACATGACGTATCAGGACATTTTTCCCCTTTGCTAAACCAGGAGTGCATGACTTAACTGGCCCGCAAGCCGGGAGTTTGACAGCCCTGTTCTATAAAGTGCAGTGATTAAAATCCAATTTTCTGGCAAGCTTTCTAAATCTCTTTCCAGAGTCATAGACAATTATCTTTTTCTTTCTGAAGGTTTCAGGGATATCTTTTGAAATAGACCTGTGATATCACACACTTCAGCAACTAAGAGTAAAGCAAACCAAATGTCTCAGGTTTTAATAAGGCAAGTTCCTCCCAAATCTTCTCTAACAGTATTCTAATCATTTGCACCAGATCTGGTAACCTAAACCTAATTTTAGGTATTTGAGGTGACAAATGTACAAGTATACTTACTTTATCAATATTGTTAAAATGAAGATTAAATATTGAAATATGTTGAAAAAGTCAAACATTTCAAAGGGGGTGTACTTAACTTTTTTCACTTGGCTGTAACTCCACCAATAAATTCTGGGCTGAATAGTCTGAATAGGACCTTGTCACATAAGAGTTTTGCTGCAGTAATGTATTGACAACTATTAAGGCTGCTTACCATTGCTTGTAATGATACTTAACATTTACATTTGCAAAGTCGTTATTAAAGTGTAAAATTAATCATTCTTGTTAAAACCAAAATAGATAGACTGCATTGACTGTACAAAAATTCATAAACAAAGAAATAAAAGATTATTTCTTTTTTATATCTTGCACCTTAATTAATAAATAAAACAATATCTTCAAGTAATACCAAAACAAAAAAGAAGGCATAGTCAATTGCTTGATGGATTGAATGCAAAGCCTGGAACATGGGTCTTTTACACTTATAACAATAAAATTCTAGAACACTGATAGAACACTGATATTGTGTGATCTTCCATCTTCCTTTCTTCACTCTGCTTTTTCAGGTGATTTTCTTCACTGTAATCTCAAGGTATCCTGAGTAGTTACTTTCCCCTCCCACAAAGTTTTGAATAAATTTCACTTTATTCTGGCAACAGAAATTGAGGAAAACAATTTAGATCCTTTTATGAAAAACACAGTACACTTCCTGCAAACTTTAACAATTATCATGTTAAATTAACATGTTTTAAAGTTATAACTGATGCTACCATTCTTATTCTTCTTATGAACCATTAGATATATATATAAACTGCTGTCACATCATAGTATACATTTCAATTGACCAACTGTCATTGTTAAAGTTACTGAGAGAACATTCAAATTTGTGATATTCAAGCTTGTGCATTCTCATTCACAATTTTTATTCAAGCTATGAAAACCTTTGAAAGAAATCTGCTTCATTAACACAGAGAAGCATGTATGAAGCCCTACTCTTCTAATCAATAAACAGCTATGTTTTGCCAGGTTCATGCATTTGCTCTGGAAGCTGTTCCTGTTCTTTTCACTTGACTGTAGAAAAGAAAGAGCGTGGAGAAAAATACATTAGCAGCTTGACTGATTCAGAACAGGACTTTTTCAATACACATTCCTTTATGCTGTGAAGCATCTTTCAAATAGGTTTGCATAGCCCTAGTTTTCATAGCAAGAACAGACAAGGGTTAATCACCATGAGTCCAGTGTGACAAATGGGTCATACAATTGAAAATTTGGACTTTTGGAGGTTAAGATACCCATATATGCAACGAAGAAAAGAACAGGATCCTGCAAAGCTCCTTTAATCCACAATTTAAAATTTGACATCTTCTTTGTTCCAAATACCCTTTTCCCCCACAGAAACCATCTTGAGGAGATTCCAAAAAGCTGCACGCATGCAGAGCAGATTTTCATATCACATGGGGACTATCGTAGTCACCCTCATAATCATCACTTTCAGAGCTGCTTGTGAAAGTACTACTAAGGGAATGCATAGATGGAAGGCTACTACTCTCACTATCTATTGTTGAGGTAAGACTACTGCTCTCACTGTCTGAAGAAGAGGTAAGACTACTGCTCTCACTGTCTGATGGTGGGCTTGGTGGAACAATCTGCTTTCCTGCAATAAAACACACAAAAATACAGTAATTAGTATATACAATGTTTGTATGACTTAGGCTGATATAGATACCTTAATATACAAAAATTATATATAATTTTAAAAACTTATTTCAAATAAATCTCTGTCACAAGCTTACATACAAAAATATCTAGTGAAGTTTTGCACAAGGCCATTTCATCATCAGCCGTCTTAAATCAATGTTGTAGAGATACCAATTGGAGAACTTCCATAGTCAAAGCCAGTGGTTCTTAACCTTTTCTTCACAAAGGACTTCCTTTAAATACCTTTTGTGGCCGTGGACTATTGCTATAGACCCCCAAGATTTAACTCAAGATTTAAATCATAACATTTCTGCAAGTCTTCTTATGGTGACATGGCTTTCAAGGGGTCTTCAGACCACAGATTGAGAATCACTAGTCATAGGTAGATAAATTTGTAGGATGAGGTGGGTCCTACTAGGATTTCAAGTCACATATAGACATCAGAGTAGAAATCTATTAATCTCATGAATAAACGTATTCAGATATGCACAGGTTTCATGTTTCTATGTAGATACCTATGGGCTTATTCCAATTTTAATATTTTATAACCTACAGCTGATAACATTTTATACCTTAATGCAGGGCTGTCAAACTCCCAGCCTGCGAGCTGGATGCATCACACACTGGTCATGCCCACGCCTCGTTTAGCAAAGGGGAAAAGAGTCCTGATACATCACGTGACGCCACCATGCCAACATGAGTTTGACACCCAAAGTTCAAACCTTTATTATCAGAGTACAACATGTGTACAATGAGATTGGCTGAGCCTCCCTTCGTGAAACCCCCCAACCCAATACAATTCACTGTGAAGACAGAAAATCCCTAACCTAGTGAATCCTACCAACAAACACACAACCCTATTGCACCATGTGAACTTATTGCATGTCGTGTCGGCCTTGCAAGTTACATATACTATGTTGTAAGGTTATTTTCCATTCAGGAGTCTGACAGCCCACAGCTAAAACCCCTTCCCTAATGAATATATCAGTATTCATGGTTCTACAGCATTTGTGCTACTTTTCCTGCCCTACACTGATAATGTTTGATCAATAATTTTTTGAAGTTTTGTTTTAAATGCACAAGGACAAAGTCTGAAAACCCTGATGTTAATATAAGGCAGGAAAATTAGAACCATCTTTGTTTCCTAAAAGTCAACTATTGTCAAGGTTTTAAATATTTCAAGCAATATACTATTTATCCTAGCTGCCCAACACCTATATCAGGGACCATTTTCAGTAATCTCACAGACAGTGAATGGTCTTCAGACACTAGGTTGGGGCTCACTGCCCTACATATACATAAACATAAACATACACAAACACACACACATACACACACACACTTATGTATGTATGTATCCTACTTAATGGCACAACTGTTCCAAAGAGACTATTAAGGAAAGAGATCAGTTATTACAAAATGTGCCTACCCATTATCTCATCACTGTATATCCCAAAAAAGTGGCCAAAATAAAGAGACCACTAAATTTTAGCTGCAAACTGGATTCCTCGACAGACACCATTTCTTTACTTGCAACATGATACTTCAATCAGCTGATCCTGAGGACCTGGTTCACTTGGAAGCCCAAGCTTATTGCAGCAAAGCAGAACTGTATCTGGTCAGTCCTTGTAATGGAAGACCATATATAAGAGCCGTGGTGGCACAGTGGTTAGAATGCAGTATTGCAGGCTAACTCACTGCTCATTCCAAGAGTTCAATTCTGAGTGGCTCAAGGTTGACTCAACCTTCCATCCGTCTGAGGTGGGTAAAATGAGGACCCAAATTGTTGGGGGCAACATGCTGACTCTGTAAACTGCTTAGAGGGCTATAAAGCACTGTGAAGTGGTATATAAGTCCAAGTGCTATTGCTATATATTCTAATTCCATAATGGAAGAAAGTGAGATAGAAACATACATACATACACACACAGGCACGCACACAAACACACACATTAGTATTAAACAATATGGATTGAATAGGGGGTTAACCTATGCAACTGTACAACTTGTAAAATATCTGGCAAATTTGCTGTATTGTTCTCCTTTCAAATCTGAGCACAATTCAATCCTGAAACTCTAGTAGAAAAGCAGGTAAAGAGATTTCATCAGGAATAAAATTAAACTATAGAAGTACGTTTCGCTTGCTACTGATACATTTCTAAATTACTCCCTAAAATAAGCTACTGTCAAAAAAATTTCAATTGCTAAGAATGGAGGACCCACCTCTCACCTTTTCTCTCTTGGATAAGGGACAGGCGCCGGTGCTTTGTCTCAGCATCCAAGTTTTCCACCATCCTGTCAATACAGTTGTCCAGAACCAGTGACCGAGTCTTGGATAATATTGTCCCTCTACATATTGGACACTCCACCTTACGTTTCATCCATTCATCAATGCAATGGGAGCAGAAGCTATGTGCACAATTCAGAGTAACAGCCTGTATAAAAACAAGAACACAAGAAAAGTGCCACTTTATAGAAGGCCCTTCTTTTGCTCATCAGTTTATCTCAGGGAAGAATTAATTGTATAAAACAGAACTGTTTAAATATAAACCCGGCACTTACCAAGGTAATTCTGCATATTTCCACTGTGCAGTATAACAGATTTTGTCACATTTCTTCCACAGTACAGATGGGCCTTGACTTACAAAAGTTCATTTACTGACCGTTCAAAGTTTCAACAGCATTAAAAAAAAGTGACTTATGACCTCTGCAGCATCCCCATGGTCATGTGATTTACATTCAGATACTTGACAACTGACTCTCATTTATGACAGTTGCAGTGTCCTGGGATGACGTGATCCCCCTTTGCAACCTTCTGACAAGCAAAGTCAATGGGGAAACAAGATTTACTTAACAACCATGTTGCTAATTTAACAACTACAGTGGTTCATTTAATAAATGTGGCAAGAAAAGTTATAAAACGGGGCAGTGTTTTAAAAACAGCATCATATAGTATTAAATCACTTCCAGCTTAATTTACTTTCTAAGGGATTCTAGAAGCGCTGAGGGCCTGGATTGGGCACAACAATCTTTACTTCAATTCAAGAAAGACCAAGTAGGACTATGTTTTTGGACCTTCTGGTTCCAGGGATCTTCCATCTTTGGGTTTGGATGGATGGCATTGCCCAGACAGATTCACTGTGCAATCTGGGGTTCTCCTGGACTCACGGCTCCTGCTCAAAGAACAGATGGCAGCCATGGCTTGGAAGATCTTTTCACAGCTTAGGGTTGTGTGTTAGTTGCTCCTGTTCCTGGACTAGGGGACCCTAATCACAGACACTCATGCTCCCGTAACCTCCAGATCAGACTACTGCAATTCAGTTGACATGGAGCTGCCCTTGAAGAGTATTCAATTAGAGCAAAATGCAGCAACGTGGGCAGTTGTTGGTTCCAGTCATTCGGTGCATGGGATACCACTACTTCACGAGCTGCATTGGCTTCTGGTATGCTTCCGGATGCAATTGAAGGTGCTGGTTATCACCTTTAAAGCCCCTCATGGCCTAGGATTAGGTTATTTGTGGAACCATTTCTCCCTAGTTGTTTGTATCTGTTCTACCAGAGCTGGCAGGAAGGGCATATGATTAACTGGCTTCTCTGCTGTGACATCTGCCCTTTGGAACATCCTCCTCCTTGAGATTAGTATTAGTGCCATCCTTGTAGATCTTTTGTAAGGCCTTAAAAACTTGGCTTTCTCCCTAGGCCTGAGGCCCTCGAGGTAGGTTAAAGCCCATCTCCTGGCCGTGTGCATGCCTTCTGGTATGTGGTTTTGTTTTTATTTGCTTTTATATTGTGCATTTTATATTATTGTTTTAGTTGTTTTATTTTAAGCTGCTTGAGTCATATAAAAGTGAGATGGATGACTATATAAACTGAATAAATAAATAGCAATTCCCCTCACAAACGTGACTCTGGATGGTTAACAAATTAAAACAATATGAAACCAACAAGGTAAAAACAATAATCAAAAATAAAAGAAACATAATATATGGCATCCAAGAAGGCCAATAACCAACCAACCTAGGCTCAGCTAATTATCTATCCCCCATGCCTGGGAAAACAGACAGGTCTCAAAAGGGCAACAGCCTCCATTTGAAAACTTCCGGTAAAGCAGAAATCACCACTTAGTTTGGAATCACTTCCAAAGGCTTATGAGGAACTACCTCCTAATGTCTAGCTTAAATTTACTTCCTTGGATTGGATACCACTAGATGTGGGCCTGTCCTTGAAACCAGTCCTTGGCAGAAGTCATTGGACAGATCTCCTCACTGATATGCTTTTTGTATGATGCACCTCACAGAGGTCAAGTCTGAACTGGCTGCTATTCTCCTATCATTTAGACCCCAAAATTATATTATATATGTAATATATATTATATGTATTAATATGTTAAGTTCTAAATCATAGAATGTAAGCATTGGAAAGAGCCTTAGAAATCATTTAGCCACCCCCTTGCCCAGTATACAAACTACTAAGTATCTCTGTCAAATAACTGTTCAGGCTCTGTCCCAACCTTTCCAGGTTTCTTTCCAAGAGGATTCTTTTTGATGTTCAACAAAAAAATATTTTTTTAAAAACTGAAATCCACTTTTTCTTGTCTTGTTTTCTGGAACAATTCTGCCTTGACAGACAGCTATTATGTCCCACACATTTTTCTCTTGATAAACCAGAACTTTAAAAAAATCTGAAATAATTAATACTGAGGAGGAAACAGGTATCTCAGCCAAGTCATTAAAATCCCAAAAGAAAATAATCTAGAAGGATTATACAGATAAGTATGATTACTAGAGGGGGTAGCAATAGGGAAATGGAGATTCAATGATCTGTATGTCACCACCTGAAAAACACACTCACAAGTATCCATGTGTCTAACCTGGAAAGACAGGGCAAAGCAAAGAAAGGCACCTCAAAAAAATGTTTTATCTATTTCTGATATTCTTCATGTTTGCCTCAATTGACTTTTTCATTGACTGTTGCTAAATAAATTGATCGGATATGCTCCAGTAGCCCTAGTCTACATTTTAAAAAATCTTTTTATAAAATCTTTTGTAACTTATTTAAGCTTTCTCCACAGAAAGTTTTAAGCTTTAATCTTCCCCCATGGTTTTCCTAAAAATACGAAGAACAAATCTGCACTTTGCTCTAAAATTTTCTCTTTTGAACAAAACAATAATATTTATCTTACCTCAATAAAGTGTTCAGAGCAAATTGTACACTGCAGCTCATTCTCCAACACATCGTTCATATGGCTCAGTGCCTCCTCTTTTTGTGCCCTTGCTTTCTCCTTCTCCTCCTATGGCCAAGACAGAATACAAAAACACTAGGAATGCCATTGCTGAAACTAGGAAAGGGACAACATGCTTCTTACGATGAAATATCGTGTATTCAGAAATATAAATTTTGCCAATATGGTAAGTTAAAATACTGCTTTTCAATCCACAACCATATTTAAACATAGAAAGGAAAAAATGAGGGTAGTTAACACTGTGTCAGTGAAAAGGAAGACAGGAGCTTCCTGAAGAAATTTTATAGGCATTTAAAAGAGGATTGTAGAATGTCTGCACTATCCATTTTCCATATGTTCATAGGGTCTACTCATACCTTGGTTTCTTTCAATTCCCTATCCTTGGCTTTAATTATTTCTTCAAAATCTTTCTTATTACGATTCAGTTCTTCCATCAGGGCCTGATGCTAAAAATTAAAAGCAAACAAAAACAGTATCGGCATTCAAATTAATATCTCTGAAGCTGGTTGCCATGAAAATTCAACTCTTCTGAATGTGTTCCATAAAATGTACAAATATTCACCTATACACGATTATCAAACTATAAAACACTAAAAAAGTAGAAGTCTATGATAACACAGAGCTATTAACTTTAAAAATACGCACTAGACAAAATGATGAAAATATTATTGCCGTGTTGTGTTGCAAACCGCCACCCTTTTTGTATATGTAAGTAATGCCACAAGACACACACACAAAAGGGCTAGGTCCCTTTGCTTTCATCATTCTGCCCTCCTTGCCATCTATGTATATATATTCTTTATTTAAGAAGTCTTCATGTAAAAAGTTGTTAAAAGATGAACGATGAATAAATAAAATATAGAATATAAATTTTAAGCAAGAACAACAAGAAGTTGGCTACCTTCATCTAAAGGAGAAGCCAACACTATAATGACTTACACTACACCAAGATACACAACTAATGTCCTAGCAATTTATCAGTGGTCACATCGCTGTTATCTCTTAATTATATAAAGTTCAGGAAAAACACAAACTTGATAGGAAACCAACAGGAGGCAATATGGAGATGGAAAAGAAATAAATATAAAAAACAAAACAGGATGAATTCTGGACAACTATCAAATAGGCTGTCAAAACAATGGAAAATTCACAACTTGTTGACAGTCAGGCCTATGAAATACAGTATTAAAACTTCAACACAGAATTATAGATATCAGGAACTAGTTTCTTTAGTAGGGCAAGATAATTGGTCTGGATATCAGGTGGATGAAGCAACTATAACTACAAGATGCAGTCGCTCCCTGGAGAAACTACAAGTGACCATAGTAGCTTCAGAAATGAATTTGTGGCAAAACAAAGGTATTTAATTATATTTTCAATTTTTGATCAACAAACTAAGGCCCATAATCATGTGGTGGAGATATATGAATATTTTTATGAAAATAAGGCCAAAAATCCTTTTAAGGATACAAATAGCATAGGAATGCCAAATTCAGTTAGATTGGCCCAGGGAAAAGATGGAGCTGGCCACAAAGAAAGCAAAATCCTGAGTAAATACAGAAGGGATAAACAGAACATAAAATAGAACAAAATAAAACCAGCTCCATGGGGAAATGAAAAGATTTCTATGAATCTAATAACTAGGTTTTCTCTTTTAAGTGATTAAAAATATAAAAATCTCCAAAATTACCTGTAGTAGAATCTGAGCAAGTTGGTCTTTCAGTCTTTCTTCTCCATGTTCTTTGTTTGCTTTCTACATGAATCACAATATGAATCACGAGCAGAAAAAAATATTTAAAAAACGAATGTCAGTTTGCTGGATATCATGTACAAAGTTTTTTCTCCATATACTTAAAAAATGCAACAGAGGATCATTACAGGTTGTGAAAACTAAAATTTTAAAATATAAATAAATTCTGAAAAATTATCTTCATTTTTGGCAATCAAGTGTATATCCTATTAAACACTATACTGTACTTTTAACGTGAATGCCTCTATTGTTGAATGTTCAGAATGCTCTTTTGTTCTCTTTTAAGGCTAACCCTAATCCTAACCCTCTCTCTTCCACCCTCCAAATAACAAATTTGAAGAAACAGATAAAGCAGTGAAACATCAATAGTTTTTATCATACCAGAAGGAAAAAAAAAAAACATCTTCAGCTGAAAACACTTGAACCTAATAGCTGCTATTGATTTTTTCTACACTGCTCAAAAAAATAAAGGGAACACAAAAATAAGACATCCTAGATCTGAATGAATGAAATATTCTTATTAAATACTTTGTTCATTACATAGTTGAATGCGCTGACAACAAAATCAGGCAAAAATTATCAATGGAAATCAAATTTAGCAACCCATGGAGGTCTGGATTTGGAGTTACACTCAAAATTAAAGTGGAAAAAAACACTACAGGCTGATCCAACTTTGATGTAATGTCCTTAAAACAAGTCAAAATGAGGCTCAGTAGTGTGTGTGGCCTCCACGTGCCTGTATGACCTCCCTACAGTGCCTGGGCATGCTCCTAATGAGGTGGCAGATGGTCTCCTGAGGGATCTCCTCCCACACCTGGACTAAAGCATCCCCCAACTCCTGGACAGTCTGTGGTGCAACGTGGTGTTGGTGGATGGAGCGAGACATGATGTCCCAGATGTGCTCAATTGGATTCAGGTCTGGGGAACGGGCGGGCCAGTCCATAGCATCAATGTCGTTGTCTTGCAGGAACTGCTGACACACTCCAGCCACATGAGGTCTAGCATTGTTGTGCATTAGGAGGAACCCAGGGCCAACCGCACAAGGGGTCTGAGGATCTCATCTCAGTACCTAATGGCAGTCAGGTTACCTCTGGCGAGCACATGGAGGGCTGTGCGGCCCCTTAAAGAAATGCCACCCCACACTATTACTGACCCACTGCCAAACCGGTCATGCTGGAGGATGTTGCAGACAGCAGAACGTTCTCCACGGCGTCTCCAGACCCTGTCATGTCTGTCACATGTGCTCAGTGTGAACCTGCTTTCATCTGTGAAGAGCACAGGGCTCCAGTGGTGAATTTGCCAATCTTGGTGTTCTCTGACAAATGTCAAACGTCCTGCACCGTGTTGGGCTGTAAGCACAACCCCCACCTGTGGACATCGGGCCCTCATACTACCCTCATGGAGTCTGTTTCTGACCATTTGAGCAGCCACATGCACATTTGTGGCCCTCTGGAGGTCATTTTGCAAGACTCTGGCAGTGCTCCTAATGTCCCTCTTTGCACAAAGGCGGAGGTAGCGGTCCTTATGCTGGGTTGTTGCCCTCCTACACCCTCCTCCACGTCTCCTGATGTACTGGCCTGTCTCCTGGTAGTGCCTCCATGCTCTGGACACTACGCTGACAGACACAGCAGCTCGCATTGATGTGCCATCCTGGATGAGCTGCACTACCTGAGCCACTTGTGTGGATAGTAGACTCCATCTCATGCTACCACTAGAGTGAAAGCATCGCCAGCATTCAAAAGTGACCAAACCATCAGCCAGAAAGCAACTGAGAAGTGGTCTGTGGTCACCACCTGCAGAACCACTCCTTTATTGGGGGTGTCTTGCTAACTGCCTATGCTTTCCATCTGTTGTCTATTCCATTTGCACAACAGCATGTGAAATTGATTGTCAATCAGTGTTGCTACCTAAGTGGACAGTTTGATTTCACAGAAGTGTGATTGACTTGGAGTTACATTGTGTTGTTTAAGTGTTCCCTTTTTTTTTTTGAGCAGTGTATATTAATATATGTTACCTTTTCCAAAAGTGTTTTTAAAGTGTTGTTTATTGAAAACATGCAATTTAAAATATGTTACAAAATTTCTCCCCCAAGAAGTAACAGGTAGAACTACCCTGGAGAACTAAAGCCAGTAATCAGAATATATATTCCATTAATATTAAATATTTATTAAATATTTATTTTTCATCAAATGAAATTACTCTTTTATTTTAAAGGAGGGTTCTTTGTAATTTAAAACTATATTTTAAACAAGAATAAAAGATAAAAAATAAAAATGCTGTTTTATTCTTGAAAAACACCCCAGGGAACTACATCATTTCCCATAGTGGCACCCATTAGTCCCTCAAATTCTAATTTTTAAAACTAAGCATACTAGAATTCCTTAGGATCGTCATATTGCCCAAGACTGAAATTTGCAAAACCTATGGAGAGAGGAAACTTTTCACATTTTCAATTTCTGTGGAGAAAGGAGAGGATCACTGAAATTGTGTGACAGTGACTAAAAATCTGAAAAGATTTGCCAATATTAAAAAGGCTGACCTTTCCCTCCCTCTGGTCATTCATGTTAGGGATGATCATTTTTTAGGAAGCCAAAGGATGTATTCTTTCTTTGAATGAAGTGCTGGTACTGCACCACAAAAGACAGCAGGTTATGCATAAAATAGGTTTAAAAAGTTAAAAATTATAGAAGATGTAACTAACTTTACCAAAAAGTTACCTTTTTCAGAAGTCCACAAATGTTACCTTTATTAGAATACTCTACCCTGAATACTGCCATTTTCCAAGTACATTGCAGTGCCCCCCCTAGTTTAGGTTCACCTAAAGCTTGACTATTTTAAAAGATAAATGAAAGCTTATCATGGTTATACCTACCTGTAGTTCATTACAGAAAGTTTTCTCCAACTGATCTACTTGTTGCTGCTGCTGCTGCTGCTCCGTACATAACTGTTCTTGCAGTTGTTGCAGCTCCTGCTCCAATACTTGAATCTCTTTTGGAGCAAATTTGGGTTTTTGTTTTACAGTCAAGACTGCTCTCTGTTTCTCCTGCACTTTGGCTTTGAGCTTTGTCATGTCTTCCAGAGTTTTTATTACTTGTTCCAAACTGTTCCAAGACTGTTCCAGACTTGGTGTGTTTTGTTCCTTAGAGATGAGAAATACTTGATCCGGCTGAACAGAGTTACAGTGGTTTTTCTTCTTCTCCTTTTTACTTGGTTTTGATGACAGCAGTACTATGGTTTCTGTGTTTTCCGTGGGTGGTTTAGACAGATCGATACTGCCTTTCTGAGATTTTCCCAAAGAGTCATTATCAGAGGATATTCGATCTCTCTTGGATCTAGAATGGGAAGGCCCTTCGGCTCCAGATATCTCTGATTCCTCCAAGCTAATTTTTCGTTTACTTCTGTCTTTTACTTTCTCTGTCACCTGTTCATGTTTCTGTGCCAAAAATGGGCTAATTATCTTCCTTTCTTCCTTTATCAGTGCATATTCATACTCAGCAGTTTCTTTGTGTTTTAAAGGCACACCTAATTGGATAAAGTCCCCCTCTTGTAAAATATAGGCCCTTGAAGGGTCAATGCGTTCACAGTTCAGCCAGACACCATTTAGGCTCTATAACAAATTTTAAAAAAACATTTTTAAAAAAAAGAAATATGGAGAATTTATGGAGAAAAACAGAAAAAAAATTGAAAAAAAGTGATCCAAACTAAAAGTGATCCAGTGGATAAGCAGATTTAATATGGCTATTAAGGAATGTATTTATTTATTTAATAAAGTAATTTATTTAGCATAGCTTCTAATTAGCTAATTAATAACCAGATGCAGTATAATACTCTTTACCAGCCTCTTGTATAGGTTTATGACAATTTGCCACAGCCAACTTGCCACAGCCGACTTGTTAAGTTGGCCACAGCAAATAGGCCATGATGAGATGGCCGTGGCGAGTTGGCAACAAGAAGTTGTCTGCCGTGAGTTGTCAATACTGTATACTTCTACTAGAAGCAAAAGTGCCTAACAGAAATCTGCTACCAAGATTGAAATCTCAAAAAAATTCTAGCATCAGGTTCTGATTATGTAATGCAAGCTGTTTTAACAGCTATTGCTTCTAATGTCTTGGGAATCTTAACTATTTGGTCAAGGAAATCATACTGGATCATTCCCACTCGCAATGAGTGCGGCTTCAGAGGAAGGCAGTGTTAACATATAGGCATCTTCACTGCAAGACAAAATACAGTTAATTTACAAGTTTGATTCTATACATAGGGTGCTTCAAATATGTAGACGTGACTTCTGTCTACTATAACATCACAGTTACAGAGATAGTTAGTTAGTTAGTTAGTTTACTTTATTGTCATTGCACCTCGTACAATGAAATCAAACACCATCTTCAGTGCACATCATGACCATGACCATGAAGATAAACACAAACACACATCCTTCATCCTCCACACATTGAACCGAAAATCCCTGAAACCACACCAATACTACACTATACAGCAGAATTCAAAAGAGCTACTGCCCTGGGATAGAAGCTGTTTTTCAACCTATTTGTCCTTGTTTTTATTATTCTGTACCGTCCACCAGATGGTAATAATTAAAAAAAAGGTTTCCCAGGATGAGATGGATCTTTGAGAATGTTTTGAACTTTCTTAAGGCAGTGGGAGCTATAAAGCGCTTCCAAAGAGGGGAGAGGGCAACCAATGATCTTCTGGGTAATGACGTTAACCCTCTGGAGTGCTTTCCTATCTGCCACTGTGCAATTGGCAAACCATACAGAGGTGCAATATGCTAAAATACTCTCTATGGTGCAGCGGTAGAAGGTCACCAGCAGTTTTTCATTCAGTAGTTGTTTTCTGAGAAGTCTCGGGTAGTATAATCTCTGCGGAGCCCTTTTGACCAGTGCTGCAATGTGAGCACCCTTTTTGCTTTGAAAATACAGGAGATTGTCTTATAACTATTACAAAATCTGAACATTAGCTCTGAGATAAAAAAAAAATTCTAGCAAATTTCTGCAAAATGGTTTCAAAAACAGTTCAGTGGAAATGCCTGTTGTATAATATCTGGAGGTGACCAAAAACCCACTAGCCAACAAATATTCTAGGCAGTGAATGCAGCAAAACATTAATTACTTGGGTTGAAGTAGTACTTAATAGAAAGCAGAAGCCCAGCAAAATACATTATAATTGATTAATTGTTCCTAAAGTCACCATCTCTACAGTAAACTGGCTATCAAATTGCTTCCATTATCTGGAAAATACTATGGGTGAGTTAATGGATGACAAAATAATTTCTTTTTTTTTTAAATCATTCGGTATAGTATAAATCTTTAAAAAGATGATAGAATATCTGTTTTAGATATCAGTGCCGAGGCGACTTATAACACAAAATAGTACACAGGAAAACTCCACGTCCACTTCAAGAGGAAGTGGCCAAAATTTATTAGTGAAATCAAAACAGTTCATCCCATTGTATGTTTTTATTTTATTGCCTTCATCATAATGTTTAGTATAATATTCTATTAAACAATGCATGGGTGGTTTTTATTGTTGATGACTTTAAACATATTCTTTTATATGGAAAAAATATGGTACTGCCATAACAATTTGAAAAAAAAAATCTCCTAAAGGCTAGATTCATATATAAGTAGTCCTCGTTTAGCAAAGAAATTGGGACTGTTTTGGTTTTTATTAAACAGACATTTGTCTTTAAAAGACGCAGTTGCTAAGTGAAACCCCAACTGTGTTTATCAACTTATTTTCAGCTATATCCCCAAGCTCTAAGGTGGGAAAAACAGCTGACACTCAGGTTTATTTGAAGAATGTTACTAGATAATACATAAGATAGGAATGATCTCTTGTGCATTAGACCTTCCCAATTCCCCTGATTGTTCCCCAACATTTTATAAGACAACAGGGGTCTCCTAAACAACATGAAATTTAATCATGTGTCAGCTGGGAGTATGATCCAACCAAGCAAAGAAATTAAGTAATAAGGGGCCTTCCATTCACATCAACCTTTAGTTATTGTCTATTAAATACCTTCATCAATTCTTCAGCTAACAAGTGAGCTACAAATAGCCCTTCAGAGGTTAACAGACTGCAGTTGCCACCGTCTGTTATCATTGACCATACTAACTAAAATTGATGAAATTTAAAATGCCCTTACCATCTTGCCAATCCCCAATCCAGATGATAAATTTAAAGTATACTGTAAAACATAATAATATTGCATTCTGGATGACATTTTCACAAAGTTCCTGAATCTGTGGTTTTTTTAAAAAAATTTCAGCAGGCTAGGTTCCAAAAACTGCTTAATTTTCAAAAAATGCCTACAAAATGAATATATATTTCTATCATTAAAACTTATGGCTTTCCAGATCATTTTTTCAATCTGGTTTCCACATTCAGCATCTTTCATTTCTGATTAATTTACCTTGTTATCCATCACGGTCCACTGGCCATTGGCATTTTGCTTGAAAATGCAATGATTCCGAGAGATCATCAGTGGACAGGATTTTGAGGACAGCTGGTAAGTGACACCACCTCCTCGACCTAAAGTTACCTAAGCAAAGAAATAGACAAGATGTTTTTTAAATTGTAATTTAATTAATTATTGTAAACCAGAAAGGGGACAACTTTTTTTTTTAAGGATATGGGACATTTTCACTTTTAAAAATGCACCCTTTACAAGGTTACAGGGGGCATGGCTAGTAATGTGATTATATCACCAAAGTGAGCAGAATCAAATTTTTCAGTCCTTTTGCTGAGCAATATTTGTTAAGTGTAATATATATATATATATATATATATATATATATATATATATAT